ATATATAGGTACTATATGTGGTCCTCTCTCAGAATTGTTCATTTCGTGATGATATCTTTAATTCTCTAATTTGATGAATATTTTTGTTATTTTGGTAAAAAGTGATATTTTCAACTTCTTGTTAAAAACCTCAAGTCTGATTGCTTTGATATTACATATATAGGTACTACATGTAGACCTCTCTCAGATTTGTTCATTCTGTGATGATATCTACAATTCTCTAATTTTGCTTAATATTTTTGTAATTTTTGGTAAAAAGTGATATTTTTGACTTCTTGTTGAAAACTTTAGGTCTGATTGCTTTGATATTGTATATATATCGGTACTACAGGTAGACCTCTCTCAGATTTGTTCATTTCATGATATCTTCAATTCTCTAATTTTGATGAATATTTTTGTCATTTTTGGTAAAAAGTAATATTTTTGACTTCTTGTTGAAAACTTTAGGTCTGATTGCTTTGATATTACATATATCGGTACTACAGGTAGACCTCTCTCAGATTTGTTCATTTCGTGATATCTTCAATTCTCTAATTTTGATGAATATTTTTGTCATTTTTGGTAAAAAGTGATATTTTTGACTTCTTGTTGAAAGCTTTAGGTCTGATTGCTTTGATATTACATATATCGGTACTACAGGTAGACCTCTCTCAGATTTGTTCATTTCGTGATATCTTCAATTCTCTAATTTTGATGAATATTTTTGTCATTTTTGGTAAAAGTGATATTTTCGTCGTCTTGTTAAGAACCAAAAGTCCAATTGCTTTGATATTACATATATATTTCATTTTCTAATGATATCTCTAGTTCATAATTGAAATGTGCATTGCTAACAGCGGAGCTATCTCAGTCGACAGGCTGCTTTTTTTTATTTTAATGTTATTTTAAAAATGAATAAAAAAAGCCCAATAAGATCTTTTGTAATCAGATTGAAAACTGATACGATTTAGTGCAATACACGGTGCATTTATAAAAGTGCAGTGTAATACTGTAAAAGGATTAATTATTCACTGGGTTTTAATTTTGCTTATTTCGCTGCCTGGAACCAAGTGAAAATTAGTCATTTTACAGTAATTGTAAATATTCTACACATTCCTTTAAGGACTTTTTCTACATTTTTTTTCTTTGTATGTTAAAATACATGTACAATAAAAACATCGTGGTTTATTCATTACCAGTAGTTTCAAAAATATTCTATACCAACTTAATACACCCCTCCGTCATCTAAATTTTAAAATATGTACATACAAAATGGGAAAGGTCTATTAAAAAGAAGTGTGCCCAAAAAAAAAATTGGGATAACAAAATTATATTACAAGGCATAAAATATGCTATTGCAAAAAGTCAAGGTACAACAAACTGACCATAACAAAAATAGCTTCTGTATCATATTGGTGTAATATTGTTCTTTGAAAGGCACAGTGATAATGTGGACTCCGTGTTTAGTGTAGATAACAAGATCACACTCGCTAAAACCATAGACACCAAGTTGTCTCTGTATCTGAGGATAATGATCTCAATTCCTGTTGAAAGACCAAACGCCTCCAACTTCACAGCATCCCCTATTTGGGCAGCATCCTTGGGAGACTGAAGTCTTATAAAAAAGGGGCACTTGATCTTTAAAAGTTTTGGTTGATGACAAGACGCACAGAGACAGATTACTAAATGCTGCTCGGGCTGATAAATATGATGTATATTGGATAATTTTTGGTAATTGTAGTCCTACTGTAAGTAACTATCGCATTAAAAATAGCTGGACGTTTCGAGCAATGGCACTTTATCGATAGCATAGAAATAAATGTTTACGTTGTGTGCATGAATATCTCACTAAAACCTGTCGATGGAAGGTCATATAATGGCAAATGTTGTCTGTCTTTATCTATTTTCACCCCCAAAAAATTAATCACTATTGATCAAAATTTATTCTATCATTTTGCGCACAAGAAAAAATTGAATCCTTTTATTCATGCTCTTGAAAAGACAATTATTTTTATTAACTGCATATTAAAAAGTGAAATAGTGAAATAATAGTGTTATGAGCTAAAATGACATGTTTTACAGTACTGTAAAATCTGTATTAGAAGCAGCGGCTTTTATTAAAATGGTACAATGCAACAGAGGGGGATGCGACTTTTCTTAGAGCATCTACACAATTTTTGGTTCTCAGTTATTCAAAACAAATTGGTGCGTCTTCTATTAGGGATGCGGCTTCGAATACAGATTTTACAGGAATTGTTATTTTACTAGATTTATTTACTCTGTGCTCATTTTGACCAGTGATTGCTTTACTGGACACTGTTCGCATACAGTACGTGACAGAAACAAGCTATGTAATTATGACACCTATCATCTTTTAAACACAGATTGTTGCAGAAGGTATCCCAATGAATGCCAGACGCATCCACACTCGTGACGGAAAGCTCTATTCTTTAAAATATGGAACAAAGAAAGATCAGGTACTAGAAATTGTACAATTATTATAAGTACTGTAAAGGGGTTAATTATTCACTTGGTTTTAATTTAGCTTTTTTTGCTGACTGGAAAATGCGCTAAATTAAAACCCAGTGAATGTGTAAAATTTAGCATAGAACACATTAAAACCCATTGAATATGCCTGAAATGGTAAATCAGCAAAATTTAAACCCAGTGAAAATTAGTCATTTTACAGTATAACATGTACAAGTTGAACGTATCAAGACCAGCATATAGCAGATCAACTCATAAGGGGAGGGAGGTGGAACATGTACTGGACATTTATATTTGATGAGATATTCACATGCAATGGACAACTACTTCAAAGTTTATGTGCAACACAATAAAAGGCAGCCACTAACTGGGAGGACTATTGTATTTTTACTATTACTTTGGAAGAACCAAAAGTTTACTGTATACTTGATCATACAAACACCTGTGTAATTTATGCATGCGCTGACAATAGAGCAAATACGATAATATAAAAAAAAAATTTAAAGTATTCCACAAGACTGTTTTTTTTTATGTTTATTCAGTACATCATGTCAATTGACAGAAGAAAGCTTAATGAACAACTTCTCACTGGTAATTATTCTCTTGGATATTATTTATTTAATTTTTATCTTGTCTCTAATTCTAATGAAGGAATCAAGATATAGAGGTTACTGTATATGTTGCTTAAGTCCCAGATAGTTTAAGTAATTTTATCCTATCATTCTCAATCTTGAGTATCTTATCAATTAATCTATAACATCAGTGCACTTCAGTTCTGGTGTTTCTAGCATGTATCTGTATATATTTGAAGGTAAAAATGTCTTCAAAATCAGCATTGGCTTTAACAAGTATGTCACTTAATAAGCTTCTCTTTGAATACAACCTTGAAACCTATCTGCTTATATATATTGTGGATATATATAATGTTCATTATGGAACATGCATTTGAAACACCAGGAGACTGTCTGGGCTACAGATTGCACAAGGGCACTAGCTAATCCAAAATGTGGGTTTATATCTATTTTGCCACACTTGCAGCTATTGTCCTAACTAACTAATATACGCAGACATCAACCATAATGTAATGTAGAAAGTTCACTATTTAAAGCGAGAGGACACGTACACTGCACATAAATACACTTGTTGTTATTGCTTACAGCTGCTGAAAAATACGACACAGTGAAAGTGTATTTCAATCACAAGTTTATCAGGTGCAACTTTGATACAGGAGAAATAGTGTTTCTTCAGTAAGGCACAATTTGTCATTTATTCCTAATACTAATTCACATGAAAAAAAGATTTACGATGGGGAGAGGACATAAATTTAAGCTGCTTTAATATATACAATTGCATTTGAGATGTGGGCAAGTTTTCAATTCATTAGGCTTCCCATTTTAGTGTGTGTTTGAATATCATGTGTGCTTTTGAATATCCAAGGTGCATGGATTAATAGGAATTTTCATCTGTGGAAAAGGGCGTAATCTTCCAATAATTCGCATCATATTCCCAATATATCTACATGTATAAGAATGATCTGAGAGTGCAATGTAGACTTGAACCATCATTATGTTTATGCTGGCTAACATGTGCCTATTTGGGAATTTATTTTCTATGGAATCTATACATTATTTCAAATTAAAATTTCTAATAAATTTTAAAAGAATTGTTCTAAATTTCATGTTGTTGTAATAATGACATGTTTATTCATATACTAAGACCTGATGGAAAACAAGTGACTAGAAAAGCAGATTTGATATGTGGATGTGATGGCGCTTTCTCTGCAGTTCGAAGACAGATAATGCGAATGGGGCGTTTTGATTACAGTCAAATGTACATCCCCCATGGATATATGGAATTTACTATGCCTCCAAAAAATAATGAGGTAAATGATTCATCTTATTTTATATTATAAATCTGTCACTGTGTCGCCATAAGTGGAACCATTAATGGTGTTTCCAAAATAAAAATCACTTTTGAAGTCAAAATTCATAGACAGTAATAATTTTCACCATTTTCACAGCTTTGTTCTTCAAGAAGATGAAGGTTATTACAAGGATACTGCAAAGTGTGCACTCACTGTACACGGTCGCATCAAGTAAATTATGCTACACGTCTTTTCACAATTTGCAATGGAAGTCAACTTTCTACACATAATGGCCGAGAAATGAATTTATGCTAATTGCTTTATCAAATATGGATTTACTTTCCATAGTTTGCTATGGAAGTCAACTTTTTACACATATGACCAACAAATGAATTTATGTTAATTGCCATCTCAATAATGGATTTACTTTT